GCGTTGTGGCGCAGGTTACATGCTAGCATTTGTTTAGTATGGGTTCGTTTTGTAAGTGAGTTATATACATTCCGACACAATTGTGACTGCTGGGAGGGCAATTCTGCAGTACCATGGTGCTTCTGCTGTAGGAAGCTGTAGTCATCCGCTGGTCGCTGAAGTCCTGATGTGAGCTGATCAAGCTCTGTCAGGAAGCACTACGCTTGAAACAACAACATGTTTGTTTTTTGGCGTTCCGGCTCGACTGTTTGGGACCACCCAGCCCCCCATTTCTCCATTGAACCGACCAGTCTTTCTTTCGAAAGCGAGCGGTGCTTCCCGAGGCCTCGGCCACGCTGCCTTGAAGTCGGTTCCCCCGGCGAAATCGCAAGACCTCAATTCCGCGCCGCCCGAGGGCCCAAGAGCGGCGCGCATGGGAGACTGGACGGTTTGTGTACACGCAGACATATTGTATATAGAAATATATAGAGTACGAAAATATATACATGTGTATGCATAGATACGATAATAAGCCGCAGGTGTTTGAACAATGAGAGATCCATGAACTTGTGATTCTTGACGTCTTCTTGGAGACGAGAAATCCTACTGCTAGTTGTTTCTTTTTGGACCCGACCCATGTTGTGGATTTATTTGAATGGGATCCAGGGACCGATTCATCCTTCGGGAGCTCTAGCCAAAGATTGTGGCCCCCAATTCTTAGATCAACCCCACCACAAGAGAATGGAGGTTGTGACATTTTGTGCAGGTTGTGTTGGGGACAAAAGGGAGCTATGCCAGAGCTGAGACCTTCTTGTAAGTGATGACTCCAGGCTTCTCATTTCTCACGCTACTGAAATTTCTAGCGTTAATGGATTCCATCTCAATCTCTTCATTTGTTTTGGACAGGAATCTCAACCTCAAAAAAACTCCTACCTCTTGGATGCTGGTGACATGCGGCGGCTTGGGGCCCCAGTTCAGCGATGGTCGAAGGCGATGGTCGAAGAGACACATGGAGTGAATATCCTGATATTGGATCCCAAGCCTTCGAATGTCCTGGCGTGAATGTCCTTGAAGTGTTGTTGGAAGTACGGACTTGTTTGGTGTTAGCAGCTAGAGTCTATGCTGGAATCTGGTCTGCAACTGGAATGCGTTCGTCTGTCCATCTCCGCGAAACCTCGGCCCAGGAAGCTTCGGGATTGCTTCAAGAACGAGACCAGAGTAATAGAGGCAGGATGTGACTAGCCGACTAGCCATTCTCCTTTGATTGACAGGGTGATCACGATGGGAAGCCTCATATGGCGATCGAAGCATGGTCCCCAAGTACAACCTGCTCACGGAAACATGGGTGGGCTCGGGATGCGTTGCGGTGTTGTCTCTTCCTGCACCACAGGAAACGGGACCTCCAAACCTCTTTGCCTCCGTGGCACGTGCCTTGGTGAGCAGATGGGGCGAAGGGGGGTCGCCTTGCGAGGTCCTTTTGTTTGGCGAAGCGTGGCTCGTTGGAGGAAATCCCAAAGACCTGGTGAGTAAGTTGTGAGCTTCAGAAGTGGAGGGTTGTGGACAACTGGACGAATGGAACAACGCGGTCCAATGCAGCATTGGACCTGTTTGGTTGGGAGGTGAGGCAGGTTTGGCTACCTAGTCTATAGGAGTCATCTGCCTGGTCTCTGATACCTGTCATCGTCTGAGCATATTTTCTCTTTTGCATTGTGGAGGTTTTCCATGTGACCCAAGAACTACTTGTTACTTGTATGCTTGAAAATTCTCCAGAGCGCCGCGAGTGGTCCCAAGTGGAGCAGCGAGAAAGCACATAGATGGTAACTGGCAAGTCAATTTCAGGAGCAATGACAATGATCTTACCGTATCTTCTCCTCCTATCAATCAGCAGTCACTGAGTCTCTTCTGAGTTGTTGCTATTGTCAAGGCCGCATGGCCCCCCCACCTTACTGTAAACCTTACATCAGGGCGAGGCGGGCCGCCGATGCTCGCAGGCAATTCGACGTTCAATTATGCAGTGTTCGCCTGGGCTCTCAGTACAGCGTAAGCGAAAGCCTGATAGCGTCTTTGTTTGGAGTTTTCATCCCTTGTTTGAAGATTCTTGCTTTGTGTTGGTGGAAGTTACATGTTGTGGTGCTGATCCTGCAATTGAACATCCGCTAAGGACTTGCGAAAGACTTGCAGCAGCAAACACATGATATTCGGTCAAACCACCGGATTGCCCAGATGTCAATGTAACAGTGCATGGGCAGAGTATGATGGAAGGAGCCCTGTATGCCCTGTATGCCCACGGTTTTGGACCTTGCCGGCCCTTCCAAACGTTGATAGATGAGATCAATAGAGGCAAGATGAACAAGTAGCTTGTTCTTGGAAGACTTGGAACATTCTGTCTGTCTGTCTGTCTGTCTGTTTCTCTGTCTGTGCGTTTTCTCCTTGCCGGCCAGCATTGGCTTTTCCCCTGCTTGCTCCTTAGAAAAGAATGCTGGCATGAGGACCAGCTTAGGCTGTCTCGAAAGACATCAAATGAATCCAAATGAATATCGCTGCGGAACGACTGGTTGGAACAACCCATGTGCATGGTGCTTTCAGCAAGGGTCTTGTCAAATTCTTGGGCAATGTTCAATCGGGTGAGTCTTGGAGTTTGAACCTTTCCTTGGAGACTAACCTTTGTTACTAGTAGCTTCTTGTTCCTAGAATAAACCTTTGGGCCTTTGGGTCTAACGGACGATCTCAGTCTCGAGACCAACTTTTGAGACCTGCTCAGGTGATGATCATCTCGAACTCCCTCTGGATGCTCGGTGGTAATCGGGTAGTTCATCGACGTGTCAGAGCCGCGCAGAACTCAAACGTTGACGTCATTCTCTGAGCACCAATCAAGGGCGTGATTGATGGAGGGAGGTGTTGTGAGTTTCATGATTTGGGAGTGGGAACATGACCTGTTGAAGAATGGTTTGAGTATGGACATTGAGAGACAAGACGTAAGGATTTTGTAAAGTCTGCTCTGCCGTTTCAAATGGTGGTGCTGAGTCTCAAATTTGAACAGACAACACTTGGAGGGTCTTCCTTTGCGCGTATAGTCACACGAATGGCCAATGTGAACCAGACTAGGTCCTTTTTGTATGTTGATGAGTCCTACTGTCAGCATGCATTTTGTCTGCGGTTGCAAACAAATAATTACGCTCTGTGTGATCAGAATTACTCCTTTGAAGGCTCATACGACTCTATGCCACCTAGTCCCTCAAATATATAGCATGTGGGTTTCACTTCTTCATGTAGTTCTTCGGAACCGTGGAGCTGAGGATTGCAATTGACATTGATTGCAACAAAGCCAAGTCAATCTGGGATGCACCTTTTGTATTTCAGCACCTTGATGAAAGCACGGAGTGGTGCAGCTCTCTGCTCAACACGTTGTTCTGCAAGGCTCTCAGGCGGCTGTCATAGGCCAGAATTTCATTTCTCTGTGCATTTTGACCTTCGGAGATATAAGCCTCCATTCATGGATTAGGCCTGTGTTTGGCTCCGAGCTGGTTTATTGAAGATGGGTAGGATAGGCATGTAGGCATGCAAACTAGGAGAATCCCAAAGCTGACTTAAGATGCACGTATGGATGAACCTGGAAGGGTCTGGAGAGAAGAATACCTCGCCAAGATGAGAATTGTTAAATCAGCGAAACTGCTATTTAGTGAGCCACATGGCCAAGGGATCATCCCAAACCCTTTACCAGGGTGTACTCATCCAAAAGGCAACTTCGTACACCAAGGTAGGAATGGTGGGCCCCTCCCAAAAGTCTTTCAAGGGACACTTGTGACATTTCCCAATCTTCTTTAAAAAATCGTTGGTTTCATGGTTTCGATTACACTTCGAAGTTGCTTTGAGCTCGGCAAAGAGCATCATGTAGAGTCCAATCGATCAGAGCATAGTCCTTTTATGTTTTGGCAGGACAAGGATGTCTGGCAAAGAGCTGGTGCATTTTTAGTGGTTTCAACCAACCTTGTGAGGGAGACAACCTGCTTGGTACAGACCGTTCCGATTGAAGACACCTTCTTAGTGCGAGGTTTGCTGACAATGTCTTCTGCAGCTTCTTCACCTTCGAGATCATCATTCGCATTGGCGCCGCGTCTCGATGGGTGCACCTCCTGGATGCTTGGAAGCGGAAGTGGCCCACGCTCACCAAGTTGGCCTGGTCCCCTGCTTTATTCAGGAGCGCAGGTGCAAAACTGCAAAAAGAAGTACCGTGGTCTGGTGCAAAAAGATAGGGTATTGGGGGAACCTGCGACGTTGGAGCAAATGTCTCTTGGATTTCTTGCAGCTTGCTCATGTGTTTGTTGGTTTGCTTCTGCTCGCGTTTTTGACACTGGTTGTTTGCGAAAATGCGGGAGTAGCTACTCAAGACCATCATTTTGTGACTAGTTCACATGGCTTATTTGGGATTTGCTTTCAAATCGGAACAGTCCTCTCCGAATTTGAATTCAGCAGACCCCTGTTGTGGGTGGTGTCAAAACACGACCCGGATAGAGCGGCAAAAGCTTGCGAGGCACGAGCGGACCATGTTAAATGCATCCATGTTGGGGCTGATGAATCTGATCTAGCAATCTGATCTTGGTGTCCTCGAGGATGGTTGGTTCCTTTTTGATGCTTTGCTCACTGTGATGATGATCTGGGATACCTGGCGACTTGGACTTGACGGTGCCAGTGACAAGTGGGTTAGCAGGTTTGGAGTGCCGCCCGAGCTTGGTGGATCTGGGTGGTGGTGAGCAGCATGCCGCTCCTCAAACTCTGCCTACATTGTGTTTGTGTAGGACTGTGAAGAGCCACTAGAACATATCTGGCATCTACTTTGTGGAAAGTTGACAAGCAGATGCCCCACACATGGCGCCTCCTCCCAAAAATCTAGGTGCGAGTAGTGACCATGAAAAAAAGCATTTCAAGAGGCCCAGGCTACTTCATCATGAGTCACCCACTTCCAGCCACTTTCAGCCACCTCCGAAGCTCCAGGGTCAGCCTGGTATTGCGCCTGCTGGGTGGGGAAACGAGCTATGGAGCTCAGGCGCTTCACCTGGGGGATGCTGAGGGATGAGACAGAATCTGAGATCCGTAGTCAAAAGGACATTGCCATACCTTGCCCATGATGATCTATTTCAAGAAACCCGTTTTTCCGGTTTGAAATACTGAAATGACTTAAAGACTTAGAGTCTGAACGAAGGTTATACTCATTGGCACTCTGAGAAAGGACCTCCCCGTGCCCTCCCCGTGCCGCAGATCCGGAGCTTCACCATCCTACGAATCCTCCAAGTTTTAAGGAGCGGAGCCGAGCGGAGCGGCGTTGGCAACGAAGGGGTCGTCCGGAAGGGTTTGGAAGCTGCTTACATTACCCTTTCCTAGCAGGTGGAATGATATACTGTATCATCCATTTGGTGTTGAGATCCAATGTTTCAGATCTTCTTTCCATTGTTGTTCATCACTCTTTTTTTGCATCAGAATCTTTAGATCGTTTGTTATGGTTCACAGCGTGGGTCTCGTTTTCCTGCTTGTGAATGACAGGGTTCTGCAGACTCGGGCCACAAGTAATTGAAGGAAGAACTCTAGGTCCAGGTGTGTGGTGTGGGACTGCCAGGATCCTGCGCGTGGCTCGGGCTGCTCGGATCATCAACTCCCTGCCAGAGCTGCGGGTTTTGGTCAAGGGCATGGCGAAGCTTGGCGTTTGAAAAGCAGAGCTTTCAGCGAGGCTTTCAATGGTATGCCGGACTTGTATCTCGTTTTCGAACATCCACGGCAAAGCAGACTCAAGATTTGCAATCCTATAATCAGAACTCTTCGCCACTAGGAGGGTGTGCAAGACAAGGAGGATCCTCATGTTCCATTTTTCCAAGTGACTGATGCCACACCGAATCGCCATTCAGTGCACGACCTTGCCTTTGTGACATTGTCTCAATTCTAGCTGAACTATGCAGACTGTTGTTCCCCAGAACATGGACTATTGACTATTCTGGACATGACCCCTGGATCACAAGGCCGTTGCATCCATCCTACCCCCGAGACGTTTGGAAAGGGGGCCGTGGGGTTGCCAGCGGGTGGCCATCTCAGCGAGGATTGCGATGCGTTCGACGATTACGATCCTTGCCTTGCTGCTACTTGGTTGTGAAAAAGGAGAACGGGCGGTCGTGTCGGTCAAGCTAGGTGGGTCGCGCTTCCATCTTGCCTTGTCCGGCCTTCTCCGCAAGATGAGTTCTGCCTTGTCCATGCCTTCTCCAGAACCTTGTCTGGGCGGGCACCAAGTTTATAAGGACCATGCCCCTTTGTACACCTGGCTGGCCCGATGACCGTAAGGAGAAGCTGGACGGATGTGCCCTTTCAATTGCCTGGACTGGCGCAACATGCAAAGCCCCTCAGAAGATGGTCACCCTCTACTTACCCACTATCCACGCACTGCAGTGGCCCAGAATCCCACAAAGAGGCGCCGGCCGCCGGCCCCTTTGCAAGAGATGCCCGACCTCAATGTCATCCAGTTTCCGGCGCGGGTGCCTTTTCTGCGGGCGCCTGGCCCTGAGGTAGGCCCTGGCATGAATGCATTCAACGAGCTGGACACGCATTCACAAGGGCGAGCTTTGCATGTCGAGATGGCTGCCCATCCACTCTGGCTGGGCCTTGTCTTTTCACTGTCTCCATCCCTGCTGGCTTGCCACGCTCATCCTTGCAATGGCCCTGACTTGGTAGAACACCTGATCTACACTGGAGGCAGAGATCACGGAACATCAGCGATGGACTGCGGCGTCATTCTGGAAAGAATGAGGCTTGGCCCCATGGTGCTTGTTTTGGGGGCTGGAAGAGCTTCAAGTGCGTCTAGACTGTGCCTGCAAGCAGAGGGGCCACAACGGCTTGCAAGCCGCACCGCAGGCATGCAGCGAGGAGTGGGAACCTTTTGTGAGGAAATGGGCTCTTTCAGGAACTTCCCGGTCAGGAAAGCCTTGGCGTTATCCTGGGCGCTCACTCATTCCCGCGGCGCTGGTGGAACGTTTGCCAGCAGGATTTCCATTTCCTTCAATGCTTGATACCTTCGAGGTGCATAAACTCAAGCTGGAAGTGCCGAGTAGAAAGTGAGGGCCATATGTTCACGGCATGCTTGGTCGGAGTTGAACAGGAGGCGAACAGCATGCCATGATCTTTTGCCCTGCAGGTGACAAGGGAATGTATATGGAATCTCTTTCCATTAAGCCATGCTGATCACTGATGGTCTTGCTCAGGACCAGGACTGATCAGCTTTGTCAAACTGGTTTTCTACACTTGGTTGTTTGCGCAGCTGACCGCCATCCTCAAATTCTGCGCGTTGGGTGTGGGTTTCCAATCTAGACCACGGGTGCCATGAAGCTTTGAACCTTGTGGGCACTGCATGCCAATGGTCCACCAAGCGCTGCAATGGGCTGTCAAGAGTTGCAATGGGTTGCACTTTTGTCTTGAGTTGTCCAGGCCTTGTCTACTACTTGTCTTTGCCGCCAGGTGCTGGCGTTGCTGAGACGTGCGAGGGGTTGCGTACTTGACTTTGTGCCTTTCTTTTTATGGAGCTGCCTTTTCCAACTTGGTGAGCGTGAGCAGCATCTATCGAGTTTTTTGATTCTCACCTTGTGCCGAAGACCACCAAACTCAGCTAAAGGAAGTGAAATTGTTTGTGTGCCATTGTGTGCCCTGCCCCGCCTTGCCCACGCGTGGCCAGGCCTTGTCCAGCCAGGGCTGAAATCCAACCACTTCGGGTCTATGCTGGTGTAGTTTTGTTGAGGGAGAAACCGCTGTTACCTGTGATATCTGGCATGGATAGTTCGTGACTCATCCAAAGGAAGTCTGTTTGAGTTCATGAGCAGCCAAGCTAGGCTCATCGTGGTCTACATATTTGCAGTCGTCTTCACACAGCTCCTGTCCGGCAGTCATGTTGCGCCCGGTTGGTTCGACAGTGTCCCCCAGGCACGGAGGACCCCTGACGGCGTTGACAACCTTATGACCAAACATTGATTCACCCCAACCATTCCAAGCTCCAGTTTACATAGTGAAAAGCAAGTGCAAACTAGTAACTAGCAGATGTCGGTGGATATTTCGAGCATTTTCAATCAAGAACCGGCATCTTTTGGTTGCGTAGTTTGTCAGCTCTGTCCATCAATTCCTGCGCCGTTGTGGGTGTGGAGTTTTTTGAACGTCAACGCTGGGAACACGATAAGATCAGGGTCTATTTCATCAATAACTGTATATTAAAATATTATAGCAAACATGTCCACTTGGATTTTTGTTTTACCGAGTCTTCGAGTGAGCCTTTCATGGAATGGGGCGAATCCCCGGCGTATGTGGGCAGTCGATGAACTTCCTGCTCTTGCAGACCTTAGCGGGGGCTGATGTGAATGTCATCAACAAGCTGCTGGCCGCAGGCTGCAAGCGACAATGAACCGCAAAGCGCAAAAACTCTGGGGGTTCGGATTTTGGGAATGTTTTGGGGTCAATTTCTGAAGGCTGTTTTTTCTGTTTTCACCAGTTTACGTGTGGCGATGTTGGTCAGCAACGCCTGTAATGCGGGGTGACCCGCAGATTCAACTCCATTTGGACCCGATTTGCATTGATTTGATGGGCCTATTCTAGTAAGGTGCCTTGTTACTAGTAGCTTCTTGTTACTACCAGTAAGGCACCTTGTTACTAGTAGCGTGTGTATGGTACCATTTGCAAGTTTTGCTCTGAAAACCCACCGTGGCCACTTTTCTTTTGTCTCAGTCTCAGATGATGTGGTGGAAACTAGATTTCTCCTTCAGAAGCCGGAACATGGAACAACCAAGCAACCCTGTTATGTGGAGCTCCGAGTTCGAGATATGGCATGAGAAGCAGAACATGACTCCTCCAACCTCGAAGCATTGAAGTGAAGCATTTTGAAGCCGAAAAAAAAATGCCCAGCCTGAGTGATGTGGAAGATATGTTCAATAGCTGGGACCGAATGACCGAGAACAGGCTGGAGCTACTACTGCCTTTACCTTTGCTTTGCCCCCGCCTTAGCAAAACCATCCGTTTCTTTTTTTGAAATCGCAGCAGTGATGCAAGAGCGTCCAAGTGTAGGTAGAGAGTTATATAGTCGGAATCTGGGCGAGGGTGACTGCAGAGGAGTTGTAAGGAGAGGCTAGCGTACTGTAGGACAGCATAGGACAGCATGATTGGGGAGGAGTTGATTTCTACCTGGAGTTTAAATAGATCCAAAAGATCCTAAAGGACGATTTTTAGTACAAATAATAGGCGTGCATCGTCGAATGTTTGTTTTGTCCCCGAAATATATCATTCTTTCAACACCGATAAATGGGCGAACAAAAGAATGATGATAGGATTAGACGTGGTCAATGGACTTTTTCATTCATTTTGTGTCCTCCAGAAGTCTTTCCTCAACAAGGGAGACATTATTTGTCAATCTTACCCACTAGCTTGGACTTGGTGAGATCCACTTGTGGGATGATGCCCTCCTAAGTACGGACGCTATGGATACTAAAACAGCGGTGTTTTTTTGCAGGAGGTCCCTTGTCGGCAGTAGGAGGGAGGGATATGCAAGCCGACTCTCGAGATGGTGGTGGACGGGACCTCTAAGTCTGTGGTTACCTATTGGTCTTGTAAGAGTTCAATAAGCCAGTTCCAAATTTTGTACCCTAGTGGCTGCTGTAATGTTTTTGGCTGCTGGGGAAAGGGACATGAAGACCTGCCTTAGTTGACATGTTGCTGAAGGAAATCTGTTGTATTTACAGCTTATGGAGTTTACAGGTTGAGGGGCATTGCTAGTAACAAGGGCATCGCTACTAGTAGCAAGTGCATCCCTACTAGTAGCTTCTTGTTACTAGTAGTAATGCCATTGTTACTAGTAGCGATGCCCTAGTAGTAATGCACTTGTTACTAGTAGGGATGCCCTTGTTACTAGAAGCTTCTTGAAACTAGTAGTAAGGCACTTGTGACTAGTAGCGATGCACTTGTTACTAGTAGCGATGCACTTGTTACTAGTAGCGAGGCACTAGTTAGCTAGTAGTAGTGAGGCACTTGTTACTAGTAGCGATTTCCTTGTTACTAGTAGCGATGCACTTGTTAGTAGTAGCCAGGCACTTGTTACTAGTAGCGATGCTCTTGTTACTAGCAGAGACGCCCTTGTTACTAGTATCGATGCCCTTGTTACTAGTATTGATGCGATTGTTACTAGTAGCGATGCCCTTGTTACTAGAAGCTTCTTGAAACTAGTAGTGAGGCGCTTGTGACTAGTCGCGACGCACTTGTTACTAGTAGCGACGCACTAGTTATTTAGTAGTGGTGAGGCACTTGTTACTAGTAGCGATTCCCTCGTTAGCAGTAGTGATGCACTTGTTAGTAGTAGCTGGGCACTTGTTACTAGTAGCGATGCCCTTGTTACTCGTAGCGATGCCCTGGTTACTAGTAGCAATGCACTTGCTGCTAGTAGCGATGCCCTTGTTACTAGTAGCGATGCCCTTGTTCCTGGTGGCGATGCCCTTGTTCCTGGTAGCGATGCACTTGTTGCTAGTAGGGATGCACTTGTTACCAGTAGTGATGCGTTTGTTACTAGTAGCAATGCACTTGTTACTAGTAGCGATGGCCTTGTTACAAGTAGCGATGCACTTGTTTCTAGTAGCGATGCCCTTGTTACTAGTAGCGATGCCCTTGTTGCTAGTAGCGATTCGCTTGCTACTAGTAGCGATGCCGTTATTGCTAGTAGGGACGCACTAATTTCTAGTAGCGATGCCCTTGTTACTAGTAGCGACAAAGGACTGTTTTTGAAAACCATGTTTTTACACAGCTTTTTTCAAGGGGAACACACTTTATTTAACGATTTTTTAAGATATATACCTTATTTAAGGTGTTTTCCTTTCCTTCAAACAACAGTTTTTGGGTGCAACAAGATTCTGAAAAAAAGAAGTTGTCATCTAGGATGCTCCTGTCAAGAGACATTAGGAGCATCATCATAGACTTGCAGCTTTGATTGCTTGACATGGCTTTTAAGGCTCAAGTTTTTGGCTTCAGACACACCATGCCTCCTAGGGCTGCAAGTGTGGTATCTGTAGATGAAACACAGGCACTGCAAGGAATACATCTTCCAGAATGGCTTGACCTATTCCTCTGCAAGGAGGATTAGGGAGCTTCTGCCCCAGTGAGCCTTGCATGCGCTCCTTTGCACAAAAACACAAGTGACAAAAGATTCTCCTTGTTGTTGGCAGGAGCTTCTGGTTCTAAGCTGTTGGTCAAAATTTTCCTAGCTAGGAGAATGCTTTGTATAGAGTGTACAGGGTCCCCCTCTAGGTAAATGCAGGAGATCTCCTTAAAAAGGGATTGGCAGGTTTGACAGAAGGGTTTGGCGCAAGGGTTTGACACACAAGGGCTAGCTACAGTTGAACAGGTTTTTGAGGTGCCCAAGTTGGGGTTGGGCAAGGCGTCAAGTTTGTGTTGAGCACTTGGTGTGCTTTGTTGTTTGTAGCACTTCCACCAAGGACCTTTCTTGCGCTTCAAGTTTCTTTGGTTCATGGGGAACAACCGGAGCTCCAGCTCCAGGCCAAGCCCTTCTGGCGAGTTGATTCAGCACCTGCTTTTAGGTAAAGCTTAAACAACATGTTTTCTACCCCAAAGTTAGCAACCCACTTTGGGAATGTAATTCAGACCACTGGAGGCAGCTGCTCACTTTGGTGCAGCAATTGGCTACACAGCAGCAGGTCCAGAACCAGCAGAGCCACAGCGGTGCTGGGAGGTAGCCCAGCAGGGGAGGTGGTGAACCCAAAGAGCTTGGGGTTGAGCTGACTCCTTTGATAGGCGCGCCGCTTTTTCACATGGATATCGTCCAACTCGACTGGTTGCGCATCATGGATATTGGTGTATCTTTGCGTTGGCTATGAAAAAGATACAAGGAACATGCTGTGGACTCTAAGCTTCCCATTCTGAAGACCAGCGTGTTGGAGAAGGACAAAGCGAAGTCCAAAGGCAAAGCAACTTTTCCAAAGTTGAGAGCTAAGGCTGGAGAATCCAACGGTTTAATCCTATTTGGATCATTGCAACGCCAAGATTTTCTGAGCTTAGAAGACCCTGTGGAATCTTCGGTTCTGCACTGCGCAGAGCAAATCCACATTTGCTATCAGCACTTAAGCAAGCAAGTCTTTGAAGGACATGCTTTGCATGCAGCTGCTTTGAAGTTTTCATCCTTGTATGTAGCACTGCATCAAAGTTTTCAATCTCGAGGCAGGAATTTGTTCAAGGTCACTCCAAAATGCACCTCTTTTTTGAGATGACTTTGGATCCAGAGGCTTCCCCTTCTACTAGATGGACATATCAAGATGAAGATTGGGGTGGCAAAATGGCTGATCTAGCCCAAAGAAGAGGTGGGGCATTGACTTGCTTGGCAGTAGGCAGTTCTATGTCTCGCCGCAAGCCATAGCTAGCAACAGGAGCTGCTGGCTGGGTGCTCAACATCTCCTGCAAGATCATGCAAGGAGATCAAAGAAGCGAATACCTCCTGTGAACCAAGGAGATAAGCAATATCTCCTGTGAACCAAGGAGATAAGCAAACATCTCCTGTGAACCCAGGAGATAACAATGCCTGCTTGGAGGTGTTTCAAAGATAAAATCTAAGGCTTGGAAAACAATTTAAATAGAGTCTTTTTAAAGATGAACCAAAACTCTTTAATTAAAGGTTCCAACCTTAAAAAACATCAAAACCCTTTAACTAAAGAGTTTTACGCTTCAATTAAAGGTTTCAACTCTTTTTGAAGGGTTTTGTTTTAGGTTGAAACCTTTGTTTAAAGGGTATTCCCTTAAAAACAGTCTTTTGGGCTCTCTGGGTTGATACTAGTAGCGATGCCCTTGTTAGTAGTAGCGATGCACCTGTTACTAGTAGCGATGCGCTTGTTACTAGTAGCGATGCGCTTGTTCCTAGTAGAGATGCCCTTGGTACTAGTAGCGATACGCTTGTTACTAGTAGCGACGCCCTTGTTACTAGTAGCGATGCGCCGACGCCCTTATTACTGATGTGCTTGTTACTAGTAGCGATGCCCTGTTACTATAGCGATGCGCTTGTTACTAGTAGCGATGCCCTTGTTACTAGTAGCGATGCCCTTGTTACTCATTGCGATGCCCCTTGTTACTAGTAGCGATGCGCTTGTTACTAGTAGCGATGCCCCTTGTTACTAGTAGCGATGCGCTTGTTGCTAGTAGCGATTTACTAGTAGCGATGCCCTTGTTACTAGTAACGATGCCCTTGTTACTAGTATCGATGCTCTTGTTACTAGTAGCAACGCCCTTGTTACTATAGTATCGATGCCCTTCCAACTAGTAGCCATGCACTTGTTTCTAGTAGCGATGCCCTTGTTACTAGTGATGCCCTTGACTAGTAGCGATGCCCTTGTTGCTAGTAGCGTTGCGCACGCTACTAGTAGCGATGCCCTTGTTACTAGTAGGCGTGCGTAATTTCCTGTAGCGATGCCCTTGTAACCACTAGTAGCGATGCCCTTGCTACTAGTAGCAACGCCCTCTTTACTAATAGGGATGTGCTTGTTACTAGTAGCGATGCCCTTGTTACTATAGCGATGCGCTTGTTACTAATAGCGATGCCCTTGTTACTAGTAGCGATGCCCTTGTTACTAGTAGCGATGCTTTTGTTTCTAGTAGCGATGCACTTGTTACTAGTAGCGACGCCCTTGTTACTAGTAGCGATGCCCTTGTTACTGGTAGCGATGCGCTTGTTACTAGTAGCGATGCCCTTGCTACTAGTAGCGACGCGCTTGTTACTAGTAGTGAGGCGCCTGTTAGTAGGGATGCCCTTGATACTAGTAGGGCTGCGCTTGTTACTAGTATTGCCGCCCTTGTTACTAGCAGCAATGCGCTTGTTACTAGTAGCGATGCCCTTGTTACTAGTAGCGACACGCTTGTTACTAGTAGCGATGCGCTTGTTCCTGGTGGCGATGCCCTTGTTCCTGGTAGCGATGAACTTGTTGCTAGTAGCGAGGCCCTCGTTACTAGT